AATGCTGTAGTAGAGAAGCTAGATTGTGAGAGATCGAGAGAGAAAGAGAGAGAGAAAGCGATAAAAATAGAAGGAGGTTGCTGGAGAAAAACGGAAATTTGATTGCCAATAATTGAGTTAGTGAACAGAAGTGAAAACACGGGCGAACGTTTTGAATATTGAATTTGTTATTTAATTTTTATATTTGTAGCTATTACTATATATTTACATAGTTTTTACAGGAAAAAAATATCCAATAAAATCGAAAAAAAGATCTGAGATGTAAATTATGGGTACTATGTGCTTGTTTCGATGACAGTTCTTCCTTAAGCATACCATTTTAAAGCAAAAATCTCAGAACAAATTCAAATTAAATTAATGAATTTATTGCAAATCAGCAACATCTGCCAAACTACCTCTATTCTGCCGCCCTTCGCAAGTTGGTCATAGACATAGCCACGGGACAGAAAGGGTGAGGGAGGCGCAGTCCTCCTTTAATTCAGCAACAAAAATTAAAAAAAAAAATTAATTAGTTCAAGATTCTTGAACAATGCTCAAGCTATGTTTCAAAATTTGTTTTTTTTAAGGTCTCCGAACCTCAAAATTAGCCTCAGTTAATCACGACTTACCTGTTGGGTAATTTCTTTTTTACAGTTTTCGAACTGTAAATCACAAAAAATATCGAACTTCTAGTGTTTGGAATCGAAAATCTTGACAGTGGTTTGTTTACACCTATAGAGAACAACTGGTGCAAGTTTGATCAAAGTAGTCGATCGCGTTCAGAAATAACGTCAAATGGAACTCGAAAGAAGAAAAAATATTGAGCACAAACACCTGGAAAATCCGGAGTGATCCGGTTCCAAGCTGGCTAAAGTGCTGAAGATGCCGAAAACAACAGTTTGTCGAGTGCTCAAAACCTACAAGGAAACCCTGAGTGTGGAAAGAAATCAGCGGACCTACAAAAAAACTGGAGCCAGGGATCGTCAGCTGCACAGCAAGGTGTTGAGGTGCGTTAAAGCCAATCCCGGTCTTTCGATTCGAGATGTGGCCAGAAGGTAGGGTAAATGTCGGCTTCGGCACCCATTGACTGTTTTCGGCAACCAAAATTTAAACGTTAATTTCACTATGTTTTACCATCAACACACTTCCCTGAATGTATCCAAACGATTCTTTAGTCTTTCAGCTCCTTCTGATTATATTTGTAGGACCGAGCAATCCTGTTATGCTAGATTTTTCTTCAAATGAAGCATACGTACTACAAAATGGGGCTGATTTCGAGTTGCCGATAATAGAACAGCTGGTTAACACGCAGTTCTAATGGGAAGGTTGCCGAAGAAAAAGAGGTTGACGACAATAGTCACACTCACCTGAGAAGTTTAGAGCGTTGTAAAAACGCTTTCAAACAGTTTTGAAGAATTCTGTCGATTGGAATGGATGGAGAAGCAAGCAGCAGATGAATTGAAACAAACAGACACGTCATATATGTGCGTGACGCTGTGAAAATTCTAATAGAAGTGCGGACGCTGCTTAGATTGACGAGAATACGTAAATTCCCCTACATAATGGGACAATTGAGTGAATAGGTCTGCTTGGTGGTGCTCCAACTTGATAATCTTCTCTTCCAGTTTCTCAAGAACAAAGTGATGTCGGATATCGATATGCTTACTGCGTGGTGAATATCCGACTTCTCTTTCAGCAAGGTGAATCGCACTTCGGTTGTCGCAAAAGATGGTTATCGTTCCGTCTTGTCCTGATAGTTCCTGCCGTAGTCCTCTCCACCAGAGGCCACGGTTGATTGCTTACTTCAGTTCCACTAAATCGGTCCACCTGACTGCATGAAGACGTACCCGGTGATAGAGCGTCGCGTCTCGATGTCATTTCCCCAATCTGCATCGCTGAATCCAACGAAACCGTTATCTGCTTCATATCCTTCGTTCCTTTCAGATACCGTAAAATACGTTTTGCTGCTATTCAGTGTGGCTTACCGGGGTCGCTGGAGAAATGACTGACTGCGTTAACGGCGAAGCTGATGTCCGGTCGGGTACAATGCGCTAGGAACTGGAGACCTCCTGCCAGCTCCCGGAATGGAACTTTCTGCATCTGCTTCCGTTCGTCTTCAGTTCTAGGGCTCATCTGCTTCGATAGTTTTTGATTGTGATCTGCCGGGGTAGCTACTGTATCACAGTCACTCATGCCGAATCGTTCCAGCAGCTGTTGAATGTACTGCTCCTGGTCCAAACACACAGTTCCGTCTCCTCGCCCGACTCGGATTCCAAGGTCTTTGTTGGCCAATCCGAGATCCTTCATCAAAAACTTCGTTGTAAGCTGCTTCTTCAAAGCATTCACCCACCGCTGGTTGTTGGAAAACACCAGTAGGTCGTCGACGTATACCGCCACAATGAGAATCTTCTCGTTTTCGATTTTGAAATAGACACACGTGTCAAACTTCGACCGCGTTAGTCCAAAGCGCTTGAGTTCACCATCCAGCTTCTGGTTCCATACTCTACTGACTTGTTTCAGTACGTACAGCGCTTTCTTCAGCTTGCAAACCTTCTTCGGACTTCCGTTGGTGATAAATCCTTCCGGCTGCTCCATATATATGTCTTCCTCTTTCAGCTCACCTCACAGAAATGCTGTGACTGCATCCATCTGGTGTATCTTGAGATCCATTCTGGCAGCAAACGACATCAAGTACCGGATGGTAGCATACCGGGCCACGGGTGAGTAAGTCTCCTGGTAATCGATGCCCTTGACTTGAGAATAGCCCTTGATTACCAAGCGGGCTTTGTATCGCTCTGTGGATCCGTCGGGGCTCGTCTAGATCTTGAACACCCATTTGCAGCGGAGTGCTCTATCACCGGGTACGTCTTCATGCAGTCAGGTGGACCAATTTGACTAAGGTGATCACGAATCACTAACGGATGAGGACGAGCTCAGTGACAGCAACAAATCCGAGAATGGCTTTATTCTGGCATTGCGACGCATAGTGTCCCAACTTCTTGCACCGAAAGCACTTCACGCGCGATGTATTGGCATCTTCGCTTGGCTTTTTGCTGATTTTCACATCTTGCAAAATTTTCGCCTTGACAACGTCCGTCGTAAGCTTCATACCCGACGAATCCAATCCCAGGATCATCGGTTTGTACTGCTTCGGTAGACCCTTCATCAGCAGACTCGCCAGCCAAGTATCGTCGACTTCGAAACCGACCTCCGATAGCTGGTGACTTGTCGTAAAAAGTTCGTTCACGTACTCCTGCGTCGTTTGGCATATGATGTCCTCATCGCGTTCGGCGCCAACCAGCCGGATCCCCGTAAGCCTTCTCAGCAGTCCAATTTGCCTGGTGGAACCACTGTGCACATCTTCACTAACCTCCGGATCGCCCTCCTGCTGTTCCATCACCACGTTCGTTCCTAGATCAGGATCATCTTGGTCACGAAGGACCAGGAGCTGTAGTTCTCCGCGCCGCGTAGAATCTCTCTCCCCAGCAACGAAACTGAACTTCCTGGCATTCGTCCGATAGCCGGGGCTCTTCCGTTTTCTCGTCCACCCGAGCCTTCGCCCGAGCCTGCGCCATCAATTTTCTTTAAAAATGTCTTGCTTCGAAAAAATTGGAAAAATTTTCTTGTTCACCAAACAGAGCCGTTCCTATAGCAACTGTCTGGGCCCATAACCTAATGGGACAATTGAGTGAATAGGTCTGCTTGGTGTGATTGATGAATTGAAACTAAATTTATTCGTTACTACATATTATCACAAACGAAGTGACAGACGGAGCGGCTCGAAAACTTTGGTGACTAACCTGCTATTGCAATTTTTCAGTGTACCACATGGCAAGACCACTACACACTTAGATTTTTTGCCGAGATGGGCACCACCGAGCAGCTCGGCATTTTATTTTGCTGGATCTCAGTGAAAAACTTGCTGAGATTCAGCTAACAAACGGGAATTTTGCCGAGATCTCAGCTAACAAACATATTTTTTGCTGAATTTCCAGCAAAATAAAATGCCGAGCTGCTCGGTGGTGCCCATCTCGGCAAAAAAATCTAAGTGTGTACTACTGGATTGTACCAACAATCAATACGAAAGTAACGATTTTAAATTGGCTCACCACTTTAGTAGCCTATTGGTCCCAAGCAAACGATTAACGTACCCTATTCTAGTTGAAATTCTATTACTACACTATGTTTGTTTTGATTCGCTATGAAAGTTTGACAGATAACATCAGGGGTGTGTGGATTCATGCAGAACATGCAGGGGTGAGTGAAATAGCTTGGGACTGCTTGGGACCGTTGTTCTGGTACTGAGTGAGCCAAAAATAATAATGATTTTCTTCGGGACCCAGTGGTCTTAGAGTTACCTCTATGATTGTACCACATGGCAACACTACTACTAGATTGAACTAGCATTTTCACCAAATGTACTAGAATGTTTTGGTTCTATCTCTTTCACTCTACTCAAAACTGAAATGCATAAAAAAATGACAAAATGATACGCACTCTTTGCACACTGTCAAAGAATCATTGTACACAAAATCAACTTTGTTCAAATCAAAACAAAAATTCTAACCCATCTGGTGGATGATGGCACAGGCTTCCAAGAAAATTCTATTACAGTGAACCACATTATTTTAATGGATTTCTTCGCCAGTCACTTCGTTTCTTCGTCACTTCTGTCACTTCGTTTGTGATATTATCATGGCATGCTACAGCTTGTAGCTAATTCATCTCCCAGCGATTCACCAAAATCAGTTAGCAGCTGTCTTAGCCACACAGTTTCTTGACAGGCTTCTGACAGAGCGACATATTCTGCCTCCATGGATGAAAGGGTAACACACTGTTGACGGCGGCTAGCCCACGAGATTAAGCCACCATGGTAGCAGAATACTAATCCTGACGCTGATCTTCTGCTTGCGGGATCACCCACCCAATCTGCATCGGAATACCCGACTAAGCCTTGATCGACAGCTCCACCTAAACGCAGATAGCAATCCGACGTAGCCTTCAAATATCTCAGAACGCGTTTAAATAGCAGCGGTCCAATCTGCTTCGCTGGGAGCCGAAAAACTTCTACCAAGAACCGACGTGGACGCAGCAATATCCGGTCGAGCAACAACCGACAAGTACAGCAGTCCACCAACTAGACACCTATATTTGGTAGCATCTTCGAACACTGCACTGTTGTTTCCATCTTTCAAAAAACCATGATCCATCGGCGATCTAGTAGTCTTCGATTCATGCATACCGTTCTTCGAAATGAGCTCCTCGATGTAATTCTTCAGCCGTATCCTGTAGCAATCTTCTCCACGTAGCACTTCTATTCCCAAGAAGTGGCGAACTTCACCGAGATCCGTTAATTCGAACAGACTGTGAACGATCTTCTTCACGATAGCATCCGATATTCCAGATAGCAACATATCATCCACATATACGAGCAGAAACACTTTTGTTTCACCTTCCATCTTCACAAACAAACACTGATCTGCACTAGATGCCTTGAATCCGAACTTCGTGAGATGACTCTTCAACCTTGTGTTCCAGCATCTGGCCGATTAACGAGAGCCATAAATGCCTCGAGCTACGGAACCCGGTGGCTGCCGCATAAAAATCTCCTCTTCCAGCAATCCATTGAGGTAGGCTGTCTTAACGTCGAGGTGCCGAACCACCAACTTCTGGCTTGCAGTAATTATGAGAAACATCCGCAAACTGGCTTGACATCAAAATCTATACCGACCTGTTGGGTGAAGCCCTGTGCTACCACCCTGGCTTTGAATTTCACCACCTTGTCCTCTTCGTTACGCTTTACGTTAAAAACCCATTTGGATCCAACCACTTTACGGCCTGCAGGAAGCGGTACCAACTCCCAGGTTTCGTTTCGTCGGAGGGAATCCAATTCTTCCGTCATTGCCCCACGCCACTCTGAGCTCTTCATAGCTTCTTTGTAGCTTACAGGTTCCTGCACTGCACAAGCTGCTATTCCTACGACGTAATCCTCAAGGAGGTGGGGATTCACTCCTTTGTTTCCCCTCTGCGACCGACAAACTAGGTCCGAACCTTCAGCTTCGTCATCTGATGCGTCAAAGTACTCGTCGTTGATCAAACTGGTATGTCGTCTTCAACTTCCTAGAACTGGAAACTTCACCGAGGAAGTTCCGTTCCCGAGTTGCAAGAATCGGGCATCTCTGCTAACGGTGATTTTGGCAGTTTCTCGGTCAACGAACCTGTACCCCTTGTGTTCCATGGAGTACCCCACGAATGTGAGTTTACGAGCCTTTCCGTCAAGTTTGATCCTCTTCGTACCTGGTACGTGTACATATGCAACGCTACCGAAAATCCTAAGGTGTCCCAGATCCGGCTTTCGTCCCCACCAGAGCTCGTAGGGAGTCTTCGGCACAGACCTAGGCCGCAATCGGTTCTGGAGATACGTTGCGGTAGCTTCGCCCCAGTATCGCTTCTCAAGACCGGAGGCGAACCAGCCTAAGGCTGAAAGCCTCCTAAATAAAGCTAAATTAATTAATTAATTCTCAAGACCGGAATCAAGGAGCATGCATGTTGCCATTTCAGTGATCGATATATTTTTCCTTTCGGCAACACCGTTGGACTGGGAGGAATACGCGGTAGTATACTGCGGAGTGATACCTTCTTCCGTGTAAAATTTCCGCAGTCGCTTGTTATTAAATTCTCCCCCGCCATGGGAGCACACAACCCGTGGTTTACGTCCAAAATTGTTATCTGCCCAACGCACATAGTCGACAATGTTATGTGTTGCTTCCGACTTGTGGTGCAGCAGGTAAGTGACCGTGAACCTGCTATAGTCGTCGATGATGTGCATGACGTATCTGTTTCCGCTAGGAGTGACGGTTTTCATCGGGCCGCAAAGGTCCGTGTGGACAATATCAAGGACTTGTAACGACTTCCTTTCGGTTACTTCTGGGAATGGGGCACGGGATGCCTTCCCCTCTAGACAACATTCCCACACAAGTTTTAAACTACAGTCACTCACCTGCATTCCGGTCGCAAGCTGTTCCTTACCGATGCGCTCTGCAGCCACCCAGTCGCGGTGCCCTAGACGCCGATGCCACTGATGTTGGCAGCTCTCCTTGTGCTGTCCCGATGTTGCCTGCAACGATGGTTCAGCAACTTGTTGAAATGCACTTCTAAGTTCTTCAAAGTCAGCCTCTCCACAGAGATTAGGCTGGTCGACAATCCCGGCACATATTTCACATTTTCCATGTCAATCTTGATCACTTCATTGTTACCGTCAATACCGTGTACCTTCTCCAAGGATCTGAGTCTTGTTCCCATCGGCCATGGTAATCCAGCCACCAGGAAACTCATTCAGAGAGGTAAAAAACGACTTATTGTTCGTCATATGTGCACTAGCACCACTGTCTATGATCCAAGATTGACACTTTCCACTCGAAACGATAAACGCAATTCCTCTGTTGTAACTTTATCACTTCTCTCCTTCTTCTTTCTTCAGCAACCGGCAATTTCTTCGGAGATGCCCCGGTTCATTACAGTAATGGCAAATACGGGTCTCCTTACTTTCCGACTTGTACTCGGCGGAACGCATCGCCTTTTCGGATTTCTCGCTCAAGCCGCCGGTGGTATTCGTCCGCGATTTTTGATTTCGCTACATCGATCGTAACATCATCCCCGGTGCGGCTGTCAAGAGCGGTAACCAACCCATCGAACGAAGGCGGCAGACTACGCAACAACATGCAGATCTTCGTGTCTACATCAAGCACTGTACCGGCCGCGTCAAGACGGTCAAACAACTCGTCGATTTCCACTAGGTGCTGTTCGGTATCACTTCCTTCCAACATAACCCGGGAAACCTTGCACATTCCACAGTTATACCCGTACGTGGTTCTATGCCGCCTGACTAAAAATAAGTCTCGTTCACGAAGCTGTCGAGAAGGTGCATAAAAGTTAATATTCTGCAGCAGTGAAGGGCAATCCAGGTTACCCTTGAGATTCTTTGCTCGACTGTCGAGCTGTTCAGTCCGTATTTTCGCTCGATTTCTCGATTTGATTTTGTTTCGTTTTGTGCTGTCGCGTTGCGCCGTGGAAGTGTCGCCACCTTCTCGTGTTCTGGTAAGTTTACTTGAACTTGCAAACACGAAACAAATGGTGCGTAAACGTGCCAATGAGCCAGCAGCGGGCCCTTCAAAGAAGGTGATAATCAAGCCCAGCGCGTCGCAGGATGACACCGGAAAACGAGTACTGCAAGCCAACCAGTATTCAGTACTCCCGGAAGAAAATGGCGATGGTGACGCCGTTCCCATTGCAAGACGAGAGCGGATTGCCCCGCTTTTCACGCCGGTGAAGGATGTTCCCAAGCTGGGTGCCGAACTGGCAAAACACAAGCTGCTGCCTCACTTCAAGCTTTGCAGCATCGGTACTAAAATCATGTGCTCCAGCCTGGAGGAGTACAAACAAATAGGAAGTTTCCTGAAGAACAACAACGTGGACTTCTTCACGCATAATCTGCCATCGAGCATGCCACTGAAGGTGGTTTTGCGTGGATTACCGTCGTTCGAGGCTGCTGCGGTGAAGTCCGAGCTGGAGCGGCTTGGACTCCAACCTGATGCCGTGTTCCAGATGAACCGGCGTCCCAACCAAAACACCAGCTTCCGTGATCAGTTGTTCCTGGTGCATTTCACGAAGGGATCCACCAGTCTTGTGGCTCTGAGATCCTAAATCCGGGACCTGTTTCAGGTCATCATCAGTTGGGAGCATTACAAACCCCAACATCGTGATGTAACGCAGTGTATGAACTGCCTCTCATATGGCCATGGCACCAAAAACTGCCACATGAAGACAAACTGCGGCAAGTGTGCTGGAACTCACTCAACTGCGTCCTGTGAACAAGTCGATGACATCGAGCCAACGTGTGTCAACTGCGGTGGAAACCACCAAGCCTCCAATCGCGGATGTCCCAAGCGAGTGGAGTTCATTAATATCCGTCAGACGGTCACAATCAACAACCAGCTCGGTCGCCTCCGTAATCATCGTTCGCCTCCTGTACTGACGGAAGTCCAGTACCCAGCTCTCCAGCCCCGTCGACATGTTCCGAACCTAGCCCCGCTTCCGCTCAACAACCAACAAGTCAATCCTGCGAGTATCCAAATGGTTCCCAACAGTTGGACAGTTCAGCATCGTCTCGTTGTTGCTGCGGCCCAGGTCCAGGTTCATCCACCGCCCCTGGTTTATCATACGCTGGTGCTGTTTCAAGTGAATCTGTCGACGATTCTCCGTTCACCTCGGAGGAACTTGTGACGCTCGGGGCCAAGGTCATCATCATCATGCGTACCTGCAAGACTCGATCTGAACAACTTCATGCTGCCTTCTCACTCGTCACCAAGTATGGACCGTGAAGCTATAAAAATTGCAAATTGGAACGCTTGATCACTGACGAACAAGCATAAAGAGCTACTCGATTTCCTCAACACCAAGGAGGTCGACATTGCTATCATCACCGAGACGCATTTGAAGCCCGAACCGACTTTCGGCTCGTCAGACTTGATCGCATCTGCTCTGGAGGTGGAGGAGTGGCCATCGCTGCAAAACGGAACATCAGTTGCCGGCTGCTACCAAACTTCCAGCTGAAAACAATTGAAGCCATCGGCGTGGAGGTGAGCACATCACTTGGCCCAATCACCATCATCGCGGCCTACTGCCCCAAACAAACCAACATCAGAGACGGGTCGTCAGTGGCCCTCCGGAAAGACATCATCAAACTCACCCGGAGGAGCGGGAACTTTATCATCGCTGGCGATCTGAACGCAAAACAACTAGCTTGGGGCAATGGTCGGAGCAATAGAAACGGCATCATCCTCAATGAAGACCTGCAAGAGGGCCACTATACCATCTTGGCCCCGGACTCTCCCACCCGGTTGAGTCGGTCTGGGGTCCATGCGACCATCGACATCTTCGTTAGCAACATGGGACACAACATCTCGCAACCTGTGGCATTCCAGGAGCTGAGCTCGGACCACTACCCGGTTGTGGCCAAAGTTGGATCCTCGGAAAAGCGATTCGAAGCTTCCCAGCGCAACTACCATCGAGTCAACTGGGCGCAATATCAACACTGCGTCGACACAACCATCGACTATGATGTCCAACCGGGGACGTCCGAAGATGTTGACCGCTGTCTACAAACCATCGAGGAGGCGATCTCCCGGGCCAGGGAACAACACGTGCCAGTATCCAGACAGGTGAGTAACACTCTGAACCTTGACAGCCCTACCAAAGATCTCATTAGACTCCGTAACACCATTCGTAGGCAGTACCAGCGTATTGGCCTGCCTAACTTGAAGACCAATTGTAATCGATTAACAGAGATCATTCAGGCCAGGATGGTGGATCTCAGAAATAACAATTTTGCTAGTAAGATCCGCTCTCTCCCAGATTGTGCTAAGCCCTTCTGGAAACTTACAAAAATTCTTAAAAACAA